TAAAATAATGACTAGTTAAAAATGCAGGACATCCACATACCCAGTTTGAAACATTAATTGGATATATATTATTTAATAATTTTTTTTCTAAATCTTTCTATTCTCTCTTAAAACTTTTGCACCATTCTGCTTTTTCTATTCCATTTAAAATTCACTAAAATTTTCGCTTTTGTTGTGGAACAACTTGTATTACTAAAATAAATACTACTAAATCTAAACAGGGTTTAAAAAATTTATATAAGAAATCATGCTTCACTACTTTTCAGTGTGCCTCAACAAATGTATTAGTTCTAGAAGTTGAAATTTTCTTATTATTTCCTGCACAAACCCACAAAGCCCAGCGCTCAGAATTGTACCACTCATTCCACATATAAATCCAAAGAAATAGTAATGAATTTTGATAGCAAAAGTTATAAATTTTATGTACTGCTGTTGTCCAAATCATTTGTGCTGTTAAATATTGACCATTAGCTGTTGGTATTAATGGATGTTAGTGCAAGTGATGCTTTATTATTTCCCATACAGATTCACGAAACTTTTTAAGACAAAAAGTATAATTATTTGCATCAAGACAAGGGCAAAATGTGGGATTAATAAATAAAAATTGTTATTGTGCTGCTTGACTATCATAGTTTATTTGTTTTGGTTTTGTATTATCTCTAAGTCTTCTATTAATCGCTTTTTTAATATGCCAAAGGCATAATTGTATTTTAATATTTTTCCAAATGAAACATACTGCAGATATTTGGGCAAAATCTTTGTTAGTTAAAAAAAATTCCGGATTAAGCCCAAGTGATTTTAATTCTAAAAAAAAATCTATAATGACGCCTGTACAAATTCTATTGTTGCAATTTCTATTATTTTCAAGAAACATATATGCCAAAGGATATCCACTTCCATCAATATATACATAAACAATATATAATTCAAACTTTAAATTATTAGTATTATCTAAAAAATTAATAAATATAAATATTAATAAATATATTTTACTGTATTGTATATAATAATTAGCTAATATAATTCAAGACTTACATGTAGCATTGACACCAATTTCAAGTATTTGATATTTAGAATCTTTAATTAAATCCCACATATTAGTTAAAAAACCAATAGCTTTGGGAAATTCTTTCAAAAGTAAAATTCTATGTGATTGTTCTATAAGCCATTTATATGAAGAAATAAATGAGTCTTCATCACATTTGTATTTTCTTTTACCAAGTTCTGTTCACCAAAAGTGTATTTGCTTTTGGGATATATTGATATTCAAATTACATTCGATAAGTTGTTTATGAATTTCACGAGGAAGTAAATCAATGTTAGTTAATATAAATTGCTTAATTTCAGTTGAAATTGAGCAGTCTAGCTGTATTAAATATAAAAGATGGTATATTTCAATATTTGACAATGTAAGATCTTGAGAAATTACAATTTTAATACATCCTTTATATAGAAAACGTTTCATTAATTGAGTATCACAATGCTTGTTAATATCAGCAGATTTTTTTGGCTTTTCAGCCAAACAATCTCTTTGAGAACAATAAAAAGTATATGTTATTAAATTATCTTTTTTAGTATTGTATTTAGAATAGTAGCTAAGTATTAAAATTAAACTTAAAATTAATAATTTATTATTATAAAATTTAAATTAACAATGAATTACGTACATCCATTTGAATTTATCAGCATCAGATATTATTTCAATAATTCAACTAGCTTTTCTTTAGAATCACCTTCCAATATTGAAATATTAATAGAACAAGAAAATTTAAATTCTGAAAAATTGAAATTTTCTTGATCTTTGATAGCTTTATTGATTTCAAGAAAACCAATAGTTTCTATTATATGGTCGTTAAAATCAGATAAGTCAAAGATTATTTGATTGTTATTTTTAGAATGTTTATTCTTGTTTTTTTTTACTTGAGAATTTTGGTTATGGCATGTATTACATGTACGAAAAGTCTTTAAATCATTAATAAACAAATTAGGTGAATAATATTTGTTGCATCCACTATAATATTTTGGTTTGTCAATTTTAGAACTTGAATTCATTATTATTGTACAATATATAAAGTAAGTATAATTTCAAAAAGTATTATTAATTATTAATTAATATATATACAACATATATAATATTATTAATAATATTATAATATCAATTTTTCATAGTAGCGGAGATAAACTATATTACGTAAATCATATGAGGGTGAAAATTTTAATAGCAATGCTAGGAAAGCTATCTGTTCAATAACTAAGATATGGAGGAATACAAACTAATATGAAGGTAGTGCAAACCTATGATAAGACCTTCAAGACTAGATGGAAAACTTAATAAAACTTGAGCATAAATCAAACAAAGTACTTATTTGGATTAATTAGATATTTATAAGCCTTACCAAGAACAATTAGAAAATCACTTTGATATTTTTTAACAATTGGTGAATCTGCTAGTAAGATATGCATCAAAAAGATATTAATGAAAAGATAGCACTGTCTGTAAAACATTATACAAAAGGCAATGTTGATAAGCCTGCTGATAAACTATATGCAAAAAAGGACTTGTAGAAAGTGAGCTTGCTCATAAGACATAATGCAAAAATATTTTAATTTCTTATCCTAGGATTTATTTAAATTTTTAATTATTATTAGTATTATAGCTACCAAATGCTGAATTCGGAATATATATTTTAAATTATATTTTTATATATCTTTATATATCAAGACTTGGAAATAGTAAAGATCCAAAACAACGATTCTCCAATTAAAAACTCTTTAACAATGACTAAAACACCTAATAGAAAAATTTTAGGTTAAAATAATATTGAGAATTACAAAGTAAAATTACTAAAAGCTCAAGAACTATAACTCGGTCTATAATGAAAATTCTTATTGTATACTGCATAAAAAGTCTAATATTCATATAATGAATCTATCTTGAAACTTGAACCTATAGAAGAAGCAATAAAATTTGAAAGAAAAGAGGAACTCTGAAGGCAAGAAATGTACAAGACAAAAATAAAAAATATACTTATTGTTAATATTGCTCTACTAGATATTGACAAAAAACCTATTGTTAATATTGCCTGTTGAGGATTGAATAATTGAACCTCAAGATATATGAGGTTTTCAACAAAGACTTACAAGAATCCAGTAGAATAAAAGCCCCAAGGTATTTGTCCACGGCTCTATACAAAAGAAAGAACTGGGTTAATAAAAGAAAACAAAGTTCTATTTGTTTAAAAAACAACAAAGATCAAAGTTGATTTCAGTTCTATATTAGAATCTTGAAACTAATTCGTTATCAACCTAGCTTAAGAAGCTATTTGCCAAGCTAACAATAACTGAATATGCGAAGTTATTGTATAAGAATCCATAATACTGATGCAACAAAGAATATTGAAGTGATCGATGATTAAAACCCTGATTTTGATTTGAAAAGTAACTGAAAATAGAGAGTTACTTAAAAAACTCCAAAAATCAATCTAACAAGAAAGAAAATTGGTTTAAGAAGTTGTTAATAACTAATTCTAGAAGTTACTATATTGGAAATTCATAATCTGAAAACACCAATATGACAAAGGATAACAAAATGACCAACGATCAAGACCTAATCTTAACTATGAAAAAAAAGAGTATAAAAAAAAATAGATTATTAATAAATAATAAGTAAAGAATAATAGAAGTAAAATAAAGTTGAATAAGAGTAAAATAAAGTCAAATCAATAAGCAAAAAAAAAGAAGTGTAAAATCAATGATTTTAGAAATAAATACTATAAATCACATAAGTAACATCATGGAACTAGCCAATGAAAAACTAAAGATCAAGTTTACCTAATGACTCTAAGTAAAGAAAAGATCTTGTTTAAATAATATAATAATAGCTAGTTAATAACCAAAAGTCCTTGGAAAAAAAAAAAAGTATTTATTCAATCAAAATCAATTCTTCTCAACAATAACCTGGACTAAAATTTTCTGCTAAAGAAAAACCAGAACTACTTGTTGGAGAATCGTGGTCTATATAGTGGTTTGTCTAGAGGTCAACTACTACTTTTGGTGACTCCTCTAATGAAGGACATTTGGCATGCAAGCCAGGAGCATTATTATACAAAATAACTAGCAGGTGGTGCCCTTGTATAAAAAATCTTGGTGGAGTATGGGTGGGGAGGCCCAACTCTGTCGACGAAGCTGTTTGGTCATTACTTTAATGAAGAATACAGGGAAAACAACAAGAAGCTCTGCTCTTTCAATACACTCGTTTAAAAATTTTGAAAGTACTTGCAACTCTCTCCTCATATTTCTTTCTTCCGTCATTTTTTCAAAATTTTTTTTTAAAAAGTGGAATTTGGCTTACCCCCTCCAAAAAATCGATATTGTTTATATCCCAAATTCGGAAAGCCGAGTAGATTACAACCACATGTTCGACGGATATGGTGCTACTAATTTGGATAGGTCCCGAGTTTTAGGTCAGAACCAAATATTCCGGAGTCAGTCATATAGTTGCGAAGCGTTTTATTAGAGATATACAAATGTTGTAATTGTTATATAATTTTTATACTTGCCTGGCACGGATTATAATAGTGCACTTTTTTTTTTTCTTTTTTGTTTGTTTTTGTGCTACTTCTTGATAGAGGTAGCTACTATTTCTCACAGAAGATAGCTTTTTTTGTTCAGCCTGTCAGGGCTTATCTCTTTGTTTTTTCTTTTTTTTACATTCTCTGTTTTCTCCATTTTTATTCCTTATTATTTTCTCTTTCTTGTTTTGTATCTTTTTTGTATATAAGCTCCTTTTCTTCTTGATGTACGTTCTAGTATTGAGAATATGGAACATTATTTTTTTTTGCTCTCAGTGAAGAAAGTAAGGATGAAGAGATAGGCTCTTGGCGGGCTGACAAAGTCTTCTAACTTACATGTAGATTGGTGCGACACGTCGCTCTTGGGCACACTAGAAGCAGCTAGGTGATGTCGGGCTTGCAATTTTTATACTGTCATTATTCATTCTATCAGAGGTTGTTTAATAAAGTATTGTATTTGAGCTCCGGCAAAACTGTCAAAGAGCTAAAAAAAAAAAAAAAAGAAGAAGTATTAATATCAACTGAAAAATAAACTTAACACTTGTGAATTAGAACCTATACCCAGAAACCAAAATTTACTAACACTATTAACATTAATATTTTTTTTATATATATAAATTGTTTTATATATTTTATTCTATATATTTACTATTATTATTATTTATTCTTAGTATATACTTATTTTTTTTTTGAATTTAAACGATCCTGCTTCTATTTATTTTATGAACTACTATATGATTATAGTATCATGCTCTATTCTAATAAAAACTCACCAAGTATACAAAGTACTGTCCAATGCTCTTGCTAAAACAACTATTAGCCTCACAAGGGGATCCAAAACTCGTTTCAGATTTTGTACCAACAAAGGATACCCCCTCAATCATTTGACTGGATGTTGTATACCGTGTCAGGATCTCTTTTTTCTCTTCTAATTCTTCCTTCTTCTCAAGAGGCACGAAACAAAAGAGGGAAATTTTTAACAGAGAGTTATGAAACCAACCAGAAAAAAAAAAAAAACAGAAAAGAAAAAAGAAACACTGATTGCGAAAAAGAAAAAACATAAAAAAAAATCTAAAATCCTAACAGCACTATTATAACCCGTGCATGGCTGATAAAAATTATATACCAAATGCAATATTTGTATATCTCTACTGTAAAGCTTCGCCTTAACGTTAAATTTACTTTCTGACCTTCCCACCAACTCCGGATAGCTTTGTTGCCCGTCCTAATTCGTATCTCGAGCCAGGTGCTACCATTGTCCAAGGACCCATGTCTCAAGCCACTTGCTGCCATAATTAGAGTTCCCAGGCTGGGTCCTGTAAAAAAGCGCCATATTCGTCTGTAAACAAACACGTGGTTGCATTCCGCTAATCCATCTGAATTTGGGAAGTAAACAATGCCGATTTTTTGGAAGGGTAAATCTCCACTTTTTGTTGAATTTTTTGGAAGACCGATGGGAAAATGAGAGAGAGTAAAAAAAGTAACCACTTAACCAAGTGAAAAGAGTGCGGCTTAAAAGAAAAACATAATATTTTGTTGTTCCCTGTGTTCTTCTTTGAAGTAACAATCTAAGAGCTTCATTGACAGCAAAAGAGGGGTATCTGAAATATCCAAAGAGTCCTCTCCACCACCAAGATTTTTTATACAAGAGCACCTCCTGCCAGTTATCTTGTATAATAACGCTCTTGGCTTGCATACCAAACATCCACATAGAGGAGTCCCAGCAGAGAAATCGTTGACCTCTAGGCAAACCGCTACATTAGACCACAACTCTCCAATAAAATTTCTGTTTTTCTTCGGTAGAAATTTTGGTCTAGATGATCATCAAGAAGAGTGTAGTATATACTTATTATTATATAGTTATATATTTATTTTATTTTATTTTTTTTTAACTATATTTTTATTTATTATAAATTTTTATAAAATCAAAATTGTAAGTTACAATTAAAAAGTAGCAATAAATTATAACTTAAAAATTTATTAAAAACTTAAACATTTAGGAAACTTTTGAGCTTTAAATTCAATATTTGATAATTTTAAACTTAGATTTTATTAACAAAATTTGAAGTTTTAAATTTGAAGTTATTATATAAATCCAAAATCAACAAAACTAAACAAACTAACTTCAAATAATCTATTAGACATTACTGTTTTTTTTACTAACAATTTCTTCTTCTCTTATATGAAACAAACTTAACAATCTAAAGAGGTGTGGCGACTTAGTGTAGTGGTCTAGTCATCATCCTCTCCAAGCAGCAGGTCTAGAGTTCGAATCCCACTAGTGACGATTTTGAAAAATAGGCCTATGTACCTGTGTATAGTTAACAGCTTTCTATTGGTTAGATCTAGATTAATCTGTAATCTTGGTCACATTATCTAGTAATGAAAGCTTTGGTGCAATAAATTCAGGGAACCGAAATAACTGAAAACTCGGTTGGCAAGTCCCAAGTTTGGAGGTAGTAGCGATCTATAACGATACCACAGGAGAGCTGAACTTGAACCAGGGCCCGAAATCGGAAAACCGAGCGACCAGGTCCTAATAGCGAAGAACATACTAGCCAAACTGCCAGATTGTCGCACTGAAGGAAAAAGACATATGCTCCAAAAGTATGGACCAAGAGGAGGACATCTTTCAGGCACCTAAAACCTGGGCAGACTGACCCTTTCGGGTTGCTAGCTAGAAGTAAGGGAGGGACCAATAAAGAATCCGGGTAAGAAGACAGTCTAAATGCAGGGTACTGGAGTTGTTAAGAACCAAAACAAGAGCAAAAAGTACGTAATAGGTGCCTAGTTAGAAAGGTTGGTGCTTGAAAAACATCTGTAGAAAGGCAGCACCCCAAAAAGTGGCATGATGTACTAATTAGAAAAAAGTTATAGGAACAAGCACATGAATACATGTGTGAGACATGTATTGCTATGTTAGGTTTACCTCGAGGATAGTTAAGTGTTCTAAGGTAGGGTGTGAAATCTAAATTGGGTGATACCAAAATCTAGCGTATGAATAGTGAGGAAACCCATTAGGGTTAGAGGGCTAATGGAGGTAGTTAGAACCAGATGGTTTAAATAGGTACCCTCCTAGTTGGGGTGCAAGTATGGCAAATAGTGTAGAACCTTTGGGCGGACTACTTAAATAGGCACTCAAAAGGTGCATGTGTGGCTTGATGTACCATCGTTGTAATTACATATAAAACTTCGTCTATACTCTAATAAAAAGTTCCCCAGACCAAAGAGGTTACCTTAATACCAAAAATATATATATATATATATTATGTATCACCGAAATAGTAAGTTCTGCAACAATTTTTTGTGGTAACTCACAATAGAATACATAATAATTTAAATGAAACTAACCCAACTACATACTATGTGTTACTAGAATAACAAATTTATAACAGAATTTTTGATATTAATTCAGATTAAAAATCATGATAATTCTAATATAAGCTAATTTAACTTTAACTACTTATTGTGTATCACTAGAATGGCAAGTAAATTTTGTAATAATTTTTTTACAGTTACTAATAATTCTAATGCAAACTAACTCATATTATGTGTTACTGAAAAGTAAGTGTGACCTCCTACAAGATGTAAATAACCTCTTACACGATGAAATTTTGAAATCAGCAAATTATAGGTTCTATAGCTGAATTTTTTTTAATAGTAACTTACAATAGAAATCATAATAATTTCAATATAAACTAACTCAACCTTAACCATATACTACAATATGTGTCACTAGAAGTAGCAAATATAACTTTTTATAGTAAATTAGATAGAAATCAGGTCATTCACATATTGTGTATTACAAAGTACAAGTTCAATAAGAGAAATTTTTAAAGTAATTCATATTGAAAATTTAGGTTAATTCTAATACAATCCAACTCATCCTTGAGACAGTTACTGTGCATCATCATAATAGAGAGTAAGTTCTATACCAATTTTTTTACAATAACCCACACTAAAAAAACATAATAATTTTAATACAAATTATCTACATATTGTATAGTAAGTACTATAATGGAGTTTTTATAGTAACTCTCAATAGAAATTACAATAATTCTGATACAAACTAACTTAATTTTAACTACATGCTGTATATTACCAGAATAGCAAGTAAGTACTGTAACATTATTTTATAGTTAACTCGCAATAAAAACATAATAATCCTAATACTAGCTAATTTAACTACTGAGTTATTGAATAGTGTGTAAGTTATATAACAGAATTTTTTCACAATAACTCACAATAGAAATCATTTTATAGTATAAGTTCTATAACAATTGATGCATGATAAAAACACAATATTTATGTAATTTAATTATATGATTGCCGCCAAAGGAAAACCTGCATCAAGCTTTCAATTATATTTTATACCAGACAAAATCTATTTAATTTCTTAAGGAATATGTCGATACAAAATATAATTGAAAGCCTGATAGGTTTCCCTTGGCAACACTTATATATCACCAAGATAGGAGGTGGCGTGTAGCGCCACCTGTTATGCTAGTAACTTTATAAAGTTACATAACACGAATTCCTTCTGGAAAGGATCGACCTTTATATAAAGGAGCATAATGAGATTCCTCCAGAATAGGTAGACCTTTTTGTATAAAGGAGCATAACTAATCTCATCATTAGAATATGTCAACCTTTATATAAAGTAGCATAATGAATTCCTTCAGAATAGGTAGATCTTTATATAGCACAAATTAACTTTATATAGCATAAATGTAACTAGTAAGGTGCATAACGAATCTTTTCTGTAGAATTTGTAGATTTTCAGTTAAAGTGTGTAAATATTTCTTATAATCATATGTCATAGCAGAGCAATTTAATCCTGATACGCCACAAGATGTCTATTGACTTAATAAACTATTAGGAATCTGAGATATGTTATATGTAGAATAGAACTTGAGTTGAGAAGAGAAGGGATCAAAGTACCATTGACATGTAAAAAAAAAAAAATAAATTAAAATAAAAATAAAATAAAATAAAATAAATAAATAAACTTGTTGTATTTTGATAGGCTTCACGTATGAAATTGTGGTCTCATGATCACGTGCATTATTGCAGATTAATAATAATCAGAATCAGTTGGAAGCAATTAAGTAATTATCAGTTAAGGTGAATAAGAAATATGTAATTAAGATAGCTTATGATCTAATTAAGATAAAATTCAAATACCTTATTATCAATTATGGTGTAATTAAGATGAAAGTCAAATAATACATTAAGATGAATTATAATGTAATTAAATGTCATTGGACAAATTTATTATGTAATTGATTTAGTGTCAAATTCTATATATATAAGGAACATATAAAAAATGAAGATTTATCCTTACGATGAGTCAGTGGGGAGTTACTTAGTTTCACCATTGGTTATATTCATACTGTGAAAATTCCATAATCAAAAATTACATAATTAATAAGTTAATATCTTATTTATTTCGAATAGCTACTATATATGGGCGGATTTTAGCTAATCTATATGATAAAAGGATTTGATATCTCAGTGGTTACACTAATTTGATACATATATTACAATGTCAGTTAAACCTTTTTATTGTCTCTTATGTTCTAAAACTTACTCAACCAAAAAGTCTTTGATATCTCATGAAGTAAATAAACACCCACATAACTGTGTTGTACCTTATAGTTCTGGGTTTGAGCTTCTCTCTAGTTGGTGCTTGTGCCAATTTTGCTCAGTTTTTCTTGCAAATGTAAAGTCCCGCCTTCATACTTACCATTCAGCCCAAGGCTTTAAGCAATTTAGAATCCACTGTCATGAAAACCTTTTCTTCTACATATTTTACCAAGAACTAAGTTTTGAATACCAGTCGGCCCAGCGAAAATATAAATGTACATATAAAGGAAGAGACAGATACCAAAAAATTGGTTATATTTTTATGCATTCTTGCTGAGGAGAAAAAAAAACAAAAACAGGAAGCATAGTTAAAGTGCGACTAAAAAAAAGGATCCTGAAATGCAAAAAATAGTTGATGTTGAATTTGGGTTCTTTTGGGAAGAACGAACAACAAAGGAGGAGTATAATGAAAAAACTATACATGGACTTATAGACTTTTAAAATTTACATTTGAAATTTGTAAGCGAAATGTAGTTGTAATCTAAATTTATTTTTTTAAATTTATAATTTTTTTAGAATAAGAGAAAGATGTTTCATTAATATAATAATAAATTTGTCTATTCTCACATGAACATATTTCATGTGCTACAGGTTTTAAAGAATTACCACCACCTATTGTAGTGTCTGCATAAAACAATTGAACATGATTATGATTTTTCTTTTCTACATCTGAACATGAAAACTATCGTAAATATAAATTTTTTGTTTTAAGAAACTTCATAAATTTAGGAATATGGCATGCAAGTACATGCATGTAAGGAGTAATATCATCATGTTAATATAGTCCCTCCTGTAAAACTTCACCTTCTTTATTTTCAATTGTTAGTTGGCAAAATTTTTTGATTCACTGTTGTGCTAAAATTTTGAATTTAATAATATCTTCATTTGTTAGATTGATTTTATGCATTGTTTGATATAAAAAATAGAACTCTTGCCAAAGTGTTTGTATTTTTTTTTCTCTTTGACCTAAAATAAATAATTCGATTGGAAATTTTTCTAAAAGAACCAATTTATCTGGCCTCATTAATGATGTCCAGTGCCATCTTCCTTTTAAATTTTCAGGTTCTTTAAATTTAAATATATTGATACCAAGAGAATAAATTGTTAATTCAATTTTTTTCTAAATAGTCTAATCAGTGCTGTTTTTTAATCATTTATTAAATGTAGGTTCAATTGATAATTCTAAAAAAAGGCATTTGAATAAAACATCAGTAATTCGAAGCATTACATGTAACTTATCCAGAATACAATGTTGATTTGCTAAAAATGGTAAAAGATTTAAATTCTTGCGACCTAAAGTATTACAAGAATTTTCATAATCTAATTCTATATTCCAACAATCAGTATTCTTACAATTGCAATATAAACAAAAATAAGTAGCAGTTGGTCCTTTAATGCTAAGTACTAGTGATATAAATTTCCAATTAGCACCAAACCAAAACACAATTGTTGTTTAAATCGATAATTCCTTCCATATTTAAAGTTAATAGTTCTTTAATTAAAAAATTAAAAGCCTGCTAAAGAGATTCATACTGTTCTATACTCATGTAAAGAAAAATACAATGTTGGCTTGATGGACTCAAAACTGCTTCATGTTGATTTAATATGCAGGCAGTAAACATTACATGATTATGATGTTTACCCACCAGCCATCTATCCCCACTTAATTTAATATAAACAACATCCCCTATTTTTAATACTGATAAATTTTCATATGCTAACATAGGAATTAAAACATTTAGAATATCTTTAAAAGAACAATAAGCTCTATTAGGTGCTAAAGAATTTATTTGAACTGGATAAACCGGAATCATATGGACTTGGTGCTGCAAAAAGGGACCAAATTGACAAAACAAAAGATCATCAGAAAATCAATTTTTATATTATAAATCTTATAATAAATCATAAAAAAATGCAAACTTTAAAGAGCAATACTGCAAAATTTTATTAATACAACTACTTTTGTATCTTAAATAAAAATGATTCTAATCTTATTCTAAATTGATTTATATAAAAAAATATCTTTTGAAAAAATTGTCAATTTGGTCCCTTTTTGCAGCAC